TCTTTCCAATTTCACACAAACTAATAATCCACATAGAGGTAGCAAATCTGTGAATCAATTTAAAATATATATTAAATACTGCATAGAACATTAAGCAAATACAGTAACATTTTGAGACGACCTAAATCTTAATTCACAGATTGGAATTAGTGAGCCAAACTATCTCTAGACAGGAAAAACTCAGCAAACAACAGGAAACCAATGACTTGCCACTTGTAGCATTTTCACATGAATAGGTAGAATATTTCCTTCTATTCTATCATGGAACTGGCAGAGGGACTGGAAATTTTCAGAGGCACCATCTAGACATCTAATTCCCATTAAATGCCAGTGGGAGATGGGCATCTAAATGTCATTTATTCCTTTGAAAATTTCTTCAGTTCCTTATACCTGCAAATTACATAACATGGGAGGAAGCCAGATCCACTTGAGCAGAGAGTCTATGCCAGTAGCATAGCTTCTAAAGGATCCAGGTTGTTATCGACATATCCCCTTCCCAAGGAAGAATATGCAGTTTCAACAGAGTGGGGTACCCTTGTAAAGTAACAACTATGAGAATGGCATTATTTTATGTGGGGAATCCCACAAGGTTGCCAGGGGGAACAATGCCACCTTGTCACAGACAGCAGATAGCGCATGGCCAATGCCCCACACTCTGCAGAGCATGTAATATGTTAGTGGGGTATTGGGTAGGCATTCTGCTAAAAAAAGCTGTTCTTTCTTCCTCTGATAGCCCATGTCACCGCATAGATTCAATCAAAAAAGTGGGGATGGACAGTCTAGTTTAATACTTGGTAGCACAAACTATTGTTACAATTGTAAAACTTTGCCCTACATTTATAACGCTACAAGCCTTTCACTTTTTTAGGCTGATTTTTTTCCAGATTTGGTGTACGTACACTGTGAATTTCTTTTTAAAGTTTGAGCAAGATTCCCTTTTTTATTCATGGGACACTCCTAAAGTTCTCTGTTTCTACCCTGGTATTTACATCTGACATAGTCTCACTTCAAAGATTTGACAATTCTTTTCCCCATGTTTATTATTAAAGACAGTGTATATTTCATGAAACCTACCAAACAAGCCCAATTTGAAGAGATTTGGTTCAGTAGCTATAAGGTTACCAATGTGGTCAATTGGCAAAGTAAAACTTGTTCCTGTAGTTTCCATATCTGCTCATTGTCACTCATCTGGAGGGCACACTGTCACTTGGTCACTCATGCCAGGTGAGATGTCACTCCTAAGTAGTGTTGCGGGTAATAAGAAAAGTTTGTCTTCAGCTTCTGCTCATTTACTGGAGATTATTTTTAGGGCTTCTGAGCAGACAGCTGAGATTTCCACCTCCTGTTTCTCTTGCTGCTCCATCACCACAGGATCAGTGAGTTTAGAAAGAAACTAGACTGAGGAAAGGAAAGAGCAAAAGGGAGATTTGACCATAGCAGGAAGAGGACCAGTGGAGAGAGGATGTGGCAGGGGAGAGAAGGGGTGAAAGAAAGAGAGGAAAAAGAACTTCTGCAAGGATAGTCCTGTTAACAACACACAAGACTGATTACAGTAAAACTCCAATAGTCTGGCATCCAATAGTCCGGCACGCCTGATAGTCCGGCATCAAAATGGCAAGAGCCTAGTGAGTGAGCTTCAGCAAAAAATGAGTCACAAGGTAACAGCAGCAGCAGCTGAACTGAGCGAAAAGGGTTACAAAAACTAAAACATTACAGTATACTGTATACAGTATGTATAATAAAAAGGGTTAAGAACACTTTATATACAGTATATATTGTATACAGTATATACATAACCATCTTATGGTTAACCATCCTCCTGATACTCCAGCATATCTGATAATCCGGCACCACCTAGGTCCCATGGGTTCCGGATTATCGGAAGTCTACTGTACTAGGAATGGTAAGTTCCATTGACTATTATGTGGTGTTGAGTGAGTCCTATCAGCTTCATGTACTTCACCCTCCCTCTTCCAAAAATAGTAAAGTGCTAATTCCAAGGCAGGAGGAAGCAGTTTAAGACCCTGAATGGGAGGACTGTTGTTCCTTTATTAATAACAGAAAGGAGAGAAGTGCTGAATCAACAGAGCTCATTCACCTCATAAACTCGTATTTGCAGAAACGGCATCGGACAAGAAGGTACTTTGGTTTTGAACGAGTTCACTTGTAGGGACAGGATGTCTCAACTGTCTCGATTGCCTGAATTTTCAGAAGGGCTCAGACCTCACACTCAAGGCCAGATTTTCAAAACTGTTTAGTTTACATTTAGGTGCCAAAATAAGTCAACCGATTTTCATGAGAGCTCAGTACTTGGGGTGCTAACGTCTAATGAATTTAGGCCGTTCGTGTCCTAATGGGTAATGCTGGTTACTGAACTCTTTTGACAACCCAGGCCTTATTTAGGTGCCTAAATTGGAGCTGAAGTCTTGTTGGAAAATGTGTTGGTCATGAGTACTTGGCAATATTCCATAATCTAGCTCTCACTAAAGTCAGTGGCAATTTTTCCATTTGAGATTTAAGTGGCATTGGATCAGACCTTAAGAAACTTGCTACATAGTCTCTTCTTAATCATGATTCTACTCCTTCCCTGTGTAGGTTTACTTTCTCTCCAGGAGCAAATGCATTCCAGGTGAAGATCACTGCTCCTGATGAGCAGTTCACACGGGTAGGAGTGCAGATACTAGACAGAAAAGATGGCTCCTTCATTGTGAGGTACAGAATGTATGCAAGCTACAAAAACCTGAAGATAGAAGTCAAAGTCAAAGAGAAACATGTTGCCAAGTCTCCATATGTTTTAAAAGGTATGAATAAGAAATGCACTTTATTTTACAAAGCTTTTTCCCCCCATACAAACTGCAGCCCAGAATGCTTTTACAGTGTTAGAACCTGATCCTTCAAATTGCTGAGACTTGGTTTCACAAAGAGATTTAGGCACCCAACTCCCCATTTTAAGTTCTCCTGCAGCGTCCAAACCCTGCTCAGCTGCTTCTGAATCCTGTAGGCACCTAAACTCGGACTGTCTATATGAGAACAAAAGCCTGCAGCATAGCCGTGGATAGCCCAGATCAGCTGACTTGGGCTCATGGAGCTCTGGTTCTTGGATAATGATATTGCTGTGTAAACATTCAGGCTTGGGCTAGAGCCCAAGCTCTAGACCCTTCCAGGGTGGAGTCCCAAAACTGAGGTTCCACCCAAAGTTCAAATTTCTACACAGTGAATTTTTCAGTCTCATGAGCCCCGGTCAACCATGGGTTTTTTATCCCTGGATAGATGTACTCTCAGTGTCTAAGTTTGTGTGTTTAAAAAAAAAATAATTCTCTATGTGTCTGTTTCTGCTTCTGCTCATGCATACTGCTGCCTGTCTGTAGGCATCCAGACATCTATTTCCCATCTAGGGCCCAGAGTGATAGTTGCCAGATGGTTTAACAAAAAAATACCAGACACACACACCCCCCTCAAAAAAAACCCATGAAAAAATTCTGTTGAGGAAAAAAAGGGGGGGGGGGGGAGACTGAAGTTGTTAAGCAAAAACAAACAAACAAAAAAAATAGGGCGCTGCCAGATGCCGCAGGGGAAAATTGGAAATACTGGACATTTCACATGTCTGGTATTTTGGTTTTTTTACCGGACGAGGGACCCAAATAAGGGACAGTCCGGGCAAAAACCGGACACCCTAGGAAAGACAGGAATGTATATCTTGCCTGCAGGGAGTGATCCAGTAAGCACGCTCAGAGGCTGCCTAATTCCACAACAAAATGACACTTAGGAGGACCAAGCCCTCCTTTATAACCATTAACCCAATAGGTAGGGTATTCAGCTGAGACAAGATACCATTAGTTCAAGTCCCTTGTCAGCCTGATAAAGAGAAGAAATTGAGCACAGATCTGCCTCCTCTTCTTTCCAGATCA